AGGACTGACCCGTTCACATGTTTCCAGGTTTGTAAAGAAGGTTAATTATTGCGCGTTCGGTTGAACTGCTGGAAAATGCGCAATCCTTTCCAAGTTAATTATGAGGGCCGAAGAAAGAGTCACCGCATGAACTAAATGCCGGAATTTCCGGTCAAAAGTTTCTTGAGAGAATGGAAAGTAAGGCGGTCATTATGCCCATATTTAAGATGGCATTGCAGAGAGACTGATACAAGTATCGCAACAGTGCTACTGCTGACTTCTGCAAGACTGTTATTCCGAAGGCATTCTGATAATGCGGAGGCAGGTAACAGATGAGAGACTTCTCGTAATTCATGCTAGCTTCTGGAAGGGGAACCCTTGCCTTCGTATTTAAGTCTTCTAAAAACACAGAGCAATGGTGACGATTTCAAATGCCTTGGTTTGACTTAAAAGCTATCTTCGAATCAGCACGTCGCCCAGGGACGTGGAATATCTTAAAATATGTTATGCGGTATCGAAGCAAATCGCAGCCATTTTGGAAAAATATATGCAGTAACCATTTCTACTGTTAAAGTCGAAGAAAAGCCATCTAAGGGCTGTTTGTGAATGTAGAGGCCGTCAGGAAGATATGCTTTGGCCTTTCCTATTCGACATTATTCTCAACTTTGTCTTCTGACATAGTGCCATCACTGGCAAAAATCACGGATTCATTCTAGAGGGAAGAAACGGTTCAAGAAATCCGACCAGATATCGGGGTGGCATAGGGTATACACGGGTGATGTTGGAACAGCGGATTGTATGAGAAGCAGGGTTAATCATCTGGTTGCTTCCGTTTGCAACCCAACAGCGATGGGGACCTCTCTGTCGCAAGGGTAGTAGACCCGTAAGACAGGTAAGGCGGTAGAACATAAAACAGGTAAGAGGCGAATCAGCTCAAGAATTTCGGTTTTATCATCAAGCTGTGCACCAGCCAATTAGAGCTAAATACAAGAATCAAAATGTTTCTACTATTTTGTATGGCCTATCTAGTATTCTAGATGGTGCATCCCATAAAAATCTGCCAGGTCAGCGGCATAAATACCGTTTGTGTACGAAAGATCAAGAACGACTATTGAAAAGCAAGCATACATCAGACTGACCTTGACGCATGCTATGCTTGACTGTTGCTGATTTAGCGTCGTTATACGAGGTTAACAGAATACAGATAGCAAAGTAACTCATCAAACCGTCAGAAATAGTCAGATAGTACTGAAGATTAGTATTACGCAACGTTCACTCTGAGGAAAAGAAATTTTTTCCAGAAACAGGCCTGTCTCCAAGAGATTTTTTCATTTTGCATTGTTCTGTATTGTCCTCGCACGCGTCTGCGGCCACTATGCGGTTCCAAAGCGAGAAAAGAAAGAATATATTTCCGTACCATCTTTAGGCCGTTTTTATCAAACCAGATCAGGTACCGATCTCTGTTCTCAGTTGACAGTTTCGCTGATCAGCGGTATTCAGCTTTGGCTCATTAGCGACCCGATGACACAATCGCACGTCGATGATATTAAGAGCAGATAGTCGATAATGCCGTAACTGACGACGTCTCAAGACAACAGACGTTTCGAGACTGCCCACAAATACGATCACCTCGACGCATACTGAGGGTTAAATGACATGGCCACGTCAAGAATGAGTCTGTATTTTAAGTAGAACTAAAAAACGCCAGTAGAACATACTTGACAAACCGATTGTGTATAAAGTCATCACCAAAGCAATCGAACTGTTCACATGAGAAAAGAAATACAATTAAGAACTCGTCAAGCAATAGCAATGAACAAGAAGATATAAGCAAATTAGTGTTTGGAGAGCAACTGTTCTTTCCACGATGATATAATTGTTGCTTTGTAACAACAGTGCCGAGAAAATGAGAATGCGACGAAAATCACAAACCAACTACGTTCTGCCAGCACAAACCGCTCAAGTGATGATTTACAACGTAAACACATGATGTACCAAGGAATGAGTAAAGAAAAGTGATTCGGTCAGGATTTGAATAGGGATCTTTCGACCTGAAATGCATCAGTCTAATATTGAGCTCACTTAATCTGCTGTATCCTTACGGATAATATCGACAGTATACGTCGGCAGCTTCCTACGTTCATTAATGTTGCTTCACCGTAAACAGCTCGTTGACCAAGACTAATCTCGGTACCGTGGACAAAGCGTCGGATTCAGAATCGAAAGCCTTGGATTCTTTCCGGGTTCTAGCACATCAGTCGGGCAACCTGTACCTGAATCCTACGTCTGTCAAATGAACAAGTGCGTTTAGATTGCTTGAAGCATAGGTCTGAAAAAACGGCAATGCTGGTTGCTCAGTCGAATTAAACAAATTCTACACGAATCAAAAGATAAACGACATAAAAGTTCGAGAGTTTCTGCAAGGTTGGCCATCGATCACAAGTAAACAACGAAGCCATCCAAGTAGAATCTAAACACCTGGTGGCTGCGCCAACGTCCAAGCAGTGATGCCCTACTGGCACGAGGTCGTCTCAGTGACGAAACCTCAAATTCTACTGCCAACGTGATTACAGGCTGCGTCAATCAAAGCCGATCGTCTGTCGCCACCTCTACTGACTGAAAAAGCGGCGAGGAAGCAAAAACGAAACGAATCTTCTGACTCTGCTCGATGATCGGTTAAAAAACGGCGGCAAAAGAGCGACGGTCTTGCAGCGCACACTTTAGGGCGATTTTGAACGCTGTTCACCGACGGCATAACTACAACCTCTTGAAGAACTGCTGTAAATGCTATACCACAGCCGGGCAAGAAGTACTGCCATCGGTTGCAAGCCAGGACAACCCGCATCAACTTGAAAGCGTGATGCCAAAAACTAAATGCCTAAAAAACAGCCACAAGCTTAACACAGCGGATCGCCAGCAAATGTCGTGGCCGCAACGCTGGTGTAAACAAGCAATCAGCGGCGCCGAAGGGACGACATACTGACAGACTCGACATGTGCTTTCGGTCGCTTCCAGCCAGGGACTGTGCTACACAATTATTGCCAGTAAATGCCGACGCGAAAGTCATGGACGCGTCGATGGCACTGTGAACACTACCCTAGATTATCGGCGAAGAGTTTGCAACAATGCAAACGAGTGTTTTACGGCTTTCGAAATGAGAGTGCACGGTGCGACAGTTCGATCACACCACCGCTAATCAAAAGAAATAGCCGCCATTTTCAGCG